CTAGCTAGCTAGCTGCAAGTTCGTCACTGGAGATGCCCCCGACGGGCCCCTTGTGTGTCAGACGTCTCCTTCTATCCCCACACGGTGTGGTTGCTCCTTGTTGCTGCTGCTGCTGCAGTTGTTGCTGCTGCTGCAGTTGCTGCTGCTGCTGCTGCTGCTGCTGTTGTACACGGGAGAATCCTTTGCTGCAGGTGGAGAGGAAGAGCGACCGGCCCTGGAGGGACCACCGCAAGCGAGGCGGCCACAGCAGCAGCAGCAGCAGCAGCAGCAGCAGCAGCAACAGCAGCAACAGCAACAGCAGCAGCAACAGCAGCAATAGTGCAACGGCCAGCTGCGGCCTCTATCCCTAATCCCTCCTCCCGTGTCTGTGTCTGTGTTGAGGTGCTGCTGCTGCTGCTGCTGCTGCTGCTGCTGCTGTTGCTGATTCTAATGTGTGGTGTTGCTTTTGTGTTGCTGCTGTTGTGTTGTTGCAGTAGCTGCTGCTGCAGCAGTTGCTGCTGCTGTATATCTATTGTGTGTTGCTGCTGTTATGTTGCTGCAGCATCTGCTGCTGCAGCAGTTCTTGCTGCTGCTGCTTTTAGTGTTTGTGATAGTGCTGCTGTAGTGTTGCTGCAGCAAGTGCTGCTTAACCAGTTGCTGCTGCTGCTGCTGCTGCTGCTGTTTTTATAAACCCTCCTACTCTAGCTGGGGGCCCCCATCCTCGGGGGCCCCCCCTCCCCCCATCCCCCCCCCCGTACCCTCTCCCCTGCTGCTTGCTGCATTCTCTACTTCTGTCCCTTTTTCTATCCCTGCAGCAGCACAAACCGATTTGCTGCTGCAGCTGCTGCAGCTGCTGCAGCTGCTGCTGCTGCAGCTGCAGGGACCCATACCCTCTGCATGCGTTGCTGGCGCTTCGCTTCTACCCAGTCTCTCTCGAGCAAACGTAGAGGGGGCCCCCGCACCCTTGGGGGCCCAGGGGGCCCCCACAGGGGGGCCCCCCCCAATGCAACACGCAACCGCTTCAAAGGGGGCGGTACCACTACGGGGGCCCTTCGACCTGCAGCAGAGGAGGGGCCCCCTGTGCCTCTTCTGGGTGCTGTGCATGCTGCTGCAGCAGCAGGTGCAGAAGCAGCAGCAACAACAGCAGCAGAAGGGGAAGCAGCAGCAGGAGCAGCAGCAGGAGCAGCAGCAGCAGCAGCAGATGATGATGATGGTTGTGAACTACACATTTCTGGACACGTACCACCTCTTGATGCAGCAGTTGCTGCTGCTCTTGCTGCTGCTGNTGTGAACTACACATTTCTGGACACGTACCACCTCTTGATGCAGCAGTTGCTGCTGCTCTTGCTGCTGCTGCTGCTGCTGCTGCTGTTCCTGCTGCTGCTCCTGCTGCCGATGGTAGTGCTGGAGGCACCTCTGCTGCTGCTGTTGCTGCTGCTCGAGTTGCTGCTTTTGCTGCCGCAGGTGCTGCAGCAGCAGCATTCGTCCCAGATTTTTTTCTCGCTGCTGCGTTTGCTGCTGTTGCTGCACTTGCTGCTGCTCTATGTGCTGCAGTTGGAGCACCAGCAGCAGCAGCAGCAGCAGCAGCAGCAGCAGCTGCTGCTGCTGAAGACTTGGGTGCAGCAACTCCCCCCATATTTTTATGGTTAAGATCACGGCTAGTATGTCGCGTGTTGCTGCTGCTGCTGCTGCATGTGCTGCTGCTGCTGCTGCTGCTGCTATTACTGTTCGTTCCTCCCCCCCCCCTGCCCGCCCCTGCTGCTGTACCCTTGGGGGCGTCTAGCTGGGTGTGGGGGGCCCCCGGGGCCCCCTGGGCCCCCTGGGCCCCCGGGGGGCCCCCCACACCCCTTGCATGTTTATTTATTTTTTTGATTGCTTTGAGCTGCAGACGACGAACGTGGTTGAACTGCTCTTCTGATAGAAAAGGGAGAATTGCGGTGTACCCTAGGAAGGGGTTGTGGGCCTCGAGGGGCCTCCCCGGGAGCCCGAGGGGTTTGGGGCCCCCTGCTGCTGCTGCTGCTGCTGCTGCTGCTGCTGCTGCTGTTGATCCCCCGCAGACACGCCCCTGTTGCTGCTGTTGCTGCTGCTGCTGCTGCTGCTGACGTGCAGCTGCCTGTGCTGCAGCTAGAGACAACAGAGATGCAACAGATAGAGGGGCCCCCGTATCTCCTCCCCCTGCTGTGTGTGCATTCGTTTGTGTGTGGCTATGGCTGTTACTGGTTGCTCCTTCTACAGCAGCAGCAGAACCAGCAGCAGCAGCAGCAGCAGCAGCAGCAGCAGCAGCAGCAGCAGCAGATCCCTGCTGCGGCCTCCA